CACAGAATTGTTACTGAGGGCCACAGAACCGTTACTTAGGGCCACAGAAACGTTACTCAGGGACACAGAATTGTTACTGAGGGCCACAGAACCGTTACTTAGGGCCACAGAATTGTTACTCAGGGACAGACACAGAATTGTTACTGAGGGCCACAGAATTGTTACTTAGGGCCACAGAATTGTTACTCAGGGACACAGAATTGTTTGTTACTGAGGGCCACAGAACCGTTACTTAGGGCCACAGAATTGTTACTCAGGGACAGACACACAGAATTGTTTACTGAGGGACACAGAATTGTTACTGAGGGCCACAGAACCGTTACTTAGGGCCACAGAATTGTTACTCAGGGACACAGAATTGTTACTGAGGGCCACAGAACCGTTACTTAGGGCCACAGAATTGTTTACTCAGGGACAGACACAGAATTGTTACTGAGGGACACAGAATTGTTACTGAGGGCCACAGAACCGTTACTTAGGGCCACAGAATTGTTACTCAGGGACACAGAATTGTTACTGAGGGCCACAGAACCGTTACTTAGGGCCACAGAATTGTTACTCAGGGACAGACACAGAATTGTTACTGAGGGACACACAGAATTGTTACTGAGGGCCACAGAATTGTTACTGAGGCCACAGAACCGTTACTTAGGGCCACAGAAACGTTACTCAGGGACACAGAATTGTTACTGAGGGACACAGAATTGTTATTCAGGGCCACAGAATTGTTACTCAGGGACAGACACAGAATTGTTACTCAGGGACACAGAATTGTTACTCAGGGACACAGAATCGTTGAATTAAAGAGTATGTCAGACAACATGCAGAGGAGTGGCAGAGGAGGCAATGTTTTAGGAGCGAGCAGACGTGGCAGCAGAGGAAGGGGTCGAGGCAGCACTAGTCGCAGCCAGAGGCCAGTGCTCCCGGTGTCATCCAGCGGTCGTGTCTCCACCGACAACCCTGCCGTCATCGATTGGTTGGCTCGGTCGTCTTCCTCTTCCCAGGTCACCTCTGACACCTACAGCCAACGGTCGGTGGGTACGTCAGACACAACCGTTAGTTGGCATGGCCCGGGAGCAAGCCCACTGAAATCACGTGTCCTCTACCTGCCCCTGTCCTTTGCTGTTCCCTCACCAAGCGAAAGTATCGCATGCTGTGGGCTCAGCCCCACTGTACAGTGAGGAAGAGCTAACAGAGGGCGGTCAGGAACGGGGGGAGACATCCGCCTTTTCAGCAGCCAGGCGAAGAAGTACAGTACTGGCGAGGAGAGTGGCTCGGTAGCCGGTCTAGAGACAGGTCTGTCTCCTGACCCAGACGCAGCCGAGGGGGCTAGTAGTGAGGCGGAGACCCTACTTGATGATGAGGAGGTTGATCGCACTTTGGCAGCCTCGTCGTCATCAGGTAATTTCTTCCGCATCATCAGGAGAAGAGGGTGCCAGCTTGGCAGCGAGCGAAAACAGTCGGTGGGTTGCCCAGGAGGCAGCAGGGTCGCAGCAGTGTGTCAGTGGAGCCAAACGGCCACGGAGTAGAGCACCAGCTCCACTGCAGCCTACCACCACGGCCAGTAGTGGTGCCGGTGTGCACGGAGGAAGTAGCAGTCAGCCAGTGAGGAGTAGCGGGGGGCAAAGTTTCCTACTCGGTGGTGTGGCAATTTTTCGTCAAGCCGCCCGAGGAAGTAAACGTAGCCGTATGTCGACTATGTGGCCAGAAAGTCAAGCGTGGCCAGGGGGCCCATGTTGGGACTACAGCGTTGCGTCAGCATATGCAGCGTCGCCATTCGGTGGCCTGGGAAAACCGTGATAAAGATACGGCGGTTCTGCCTGCCCCAGCCCCCCGCTCCATCACCCGCTCCGTTACTTGCTCCGTCACCCGACGACGTCAATCGCCCTCTATCAGCCAGTCAAGGCTCCAACACCTCTGCTGAGGGGAGTTGTCGCTCGTTGGCATTTCCGCTCGTTCAGATGCTCCTTCTCCTGCTACTCCTCTTCTCGGATTCCGTCAGCAGTCTTTCTTGGAATCCGTTTCCAAGAGACAACAGTTTGCGAGCACGCACCCGACGGTGCAAAAGCTGAACGTCCTCCTGTCCAAGTTGCTGGTGCTGCAGTCCCTCCCTTTCCAACTGGTGGACTCAGCACCTTTCCGAGAAATGATGGCTTGTGCCGCGCCGCGGTGGAGAGTGCCAAGCCGTCATTTCTTCGCCAAAAAGGCAGTGCCAGCCCTGCATTCACATGTAGAAGAGATGGTGGGCCAGTCTTTGAGCATGTCGGTCTCTGCCAAAGTGCACGGCAGCGCCGACGTGTGGAGCTGTAACTACGGTCAGGGACAGTACATGTCATTTACGGCCCACTGGGTGAACGTGGTGCCGGCACAGCCGCACCAGCAACTTGGACAGGTCACGACGCTTTTGCCTCCACGTTTGCACGTCCCTTGGTCCAGCAAACATGTCCGCCTCTACCACCTCTTCTTCCGCCGTGTCCTCAGCCGCCACCCCCGTGCCAAGTCCCATTACCCGACCGGCATATCACATGTGCAGGGCGCAACGGTGTCACGCTGTGCTGCACCTGGTATGCCTTGGCGAACGTAGTCACACAGGGGAGGAACTTCTGAGTGTGTAATGAACAGAGAAATCGACAGATGGCTGTCTCCGCGCAAACTGAAAATCGGAACCATGTTGACCGACAACGGAAAGAACATGGTGTCTGCTCTGCGTCAAGGAAGGTTGTGCCATGCGCCATGCATGGCTCACGTGTTCAATCTGGTTGTCAAGCGGTTCCTAAAATCCACCATCCCACTGCAAGACATCCTTAAAATGTCACGTAAACTTTGCATGCATTTCAGCCATTCCTACACCGCAAAGCACACCCTCCTTGAGCTGCAGCGGCAGAACGGAATTCCACAGCATCGCCTGATCTGCGACGTTGCAACAAGGTGGAATTCAACCCTACACATGTTAGACCGCCTTTACGAGCAGCGAAAGGCCATCACCGATTTCCTGATGTTACAAGCGGATAAAGGTACTCCCCTGTGTAACTTCGATGTCAGCCATTGGCAGCTCATGCGTGACACCTGCCGCTTGCTCAGGCCCTTTGAGGAGGCCACGCTATTCGTGAGTCGGCAGGACTATGGGATGAACGACGTCATTCCTCTGTTGCACGTCCTGGAACAAATGCTGTTAACAATGGCTGGTCAGGGTGCGGTAGACGTGGCGCACAGATCTCAACGCCACATGACCCCTGTGGGGGCAGGACAGGAAGAAGAGGAGGAGGTAGAGGAGGACATTTGTGCTCAGGAATTATTGAGTGAAATGGGTGGTTTTTCCACTCAGCGGACAGGAGTGGAGGAGCAGGAGCATCTGGTAGAGGAGGAGGAGGAGGAGACAGAGGACCCAGACGCACCGTGGCAGTATGCTGTGGAGATGGAGGCAGGGAGTCCCTCGCATTCCTTGGCACAAATGGCCCATAGCATGCTCGGTTGCTTGCTTGCGTAGCGACAGCCGAATAATAACCATCAGACAGAGGGATGACTTTTGGCTGTCCACCTTGTTGGACCCTCGCTACCGTTCCAAAATGGTGGCCTTTTTCACACTGCTGCTGAGAGGGAGGCCAAAATTACGTACTATATAAAAACCACCTATGTAGTCAGTTGGTCTCTGCCTTTCTGCGCCAACGTCCATCCTCAGACACTGTGGGCCCTGTGCGCTCGCGTTCCGCTGCCATGGCAGCAGGGGAGGGGTGGGGTGGTAGGAGCAGTGGCAGCTCCACCAGCAGCGGGCTGCCTCAGTCTGCAGTCGATGATGAGTAGCTTTCTTCACCAGCGCAGTGAGGAAACTACTAACCAGCCGCAGCAGCAGCAGCAGCAGCATCAGGTGGACCTGGAGCAGGAGCTCAAACAACAGGCTTGGGCCTACTTGGACAGCACCCTGCCAACCGAGGTAGACAATCCCCTTGACTACTGGGCAACGAAACTTGACCTTTGGCCCCAACTAGCTGAATTTGCCCTTGAAAGGCTGTCATGCCCGGCCAGTAGCGTGGCATCGGAGCGCGTGTTTAGTGCGGCAGGAGGTATTGTAACTCCGCGGAGGACACGACTGTCCACCCAAAGTGTGGAGAGACTCACGTTTGTGAAAATGAATCAGGCGTGGATTAGTCTGGATTTCAAACCACCAGTTCCTGACACAACTGACTAAATCCGCCATGAATCATGCCCCAAACATGTGCCACTTTCAGGTCTCCTCACACTGCTGGTGTGTTCCATTTTTTGTCATAGGGTGCTGGCAGATTACGGGCCTCCCATAGCTGCTGCCAGGCCCCTAATCTGCCATGGGCCCCTGTACCGCCTCCTCATGCTGCTGCCAGGTCCACAGTGTGTCTCCATCTCCACAGTGTGACCCATGTGCCACTTTCAGGTCTCCTCACACTGCTGTGTCAGGTGTTTCATTTTTGTCATAGGGTGCTGGCAGATTACGGGCCTCCATTGCTGCTGCCAGGCCCCTAATCTGCCATGGGCCCCTGTACCGCCTCCTCTCGCTGCTGCAAGGTCCACAGTGTGTCATGCATGTGCCACTTTCAGGTCTCCTCACACTGCTGGTGTGTTTCATTTTTTGTCATAGGGTGCTGGCAGATTACGGGCCTCCCATAGCTGCTGCCAGGCCCCTAATCTGCCATGGGCCCCCCCTGTACCGCCTCCTCACGCTGCTGCAAGGTCCACAGTGTGTCTGCCATGTGCCACTTTCAGGTCTCCTCACACTGCTGGTGTGTTTCATTTTGTCATAGGGTGCTGGCAGATTACGGGCCTCCCATTGCTGCTGCCAGGGCCCCTAATCTGCCATGGGCCCCTGTACCGCCTCCTCATGCTGCTGCTGTCCAATGGGGTCCACATTGTGTGTCATGCCATGTGCCACTTTCAGGTCTCCTCACACTGCTGGTGTGTTTCATTTTTTGTCATAGGGTGCTGGCAGATTACGGGCCTCCCATAGCTGCTGCCAGGCCCCTAATCTGCCATGGGCCCCTGTACCGCCTCCTCATGCTGCTGCCAGGTCCACAGTGTGTCATGGGTCCCTGTACGGCCTCCCATTGCTGCTGTCTCCATCGCCACACTCTGCCATGTGCCACTTTCAGGTCTCCTCACACTGCTGGTGGGTTCCATTTTTTTGTCATAGGGTGCTGGCAGATTACGGGCCTCCATTGCTGCTGCCAGGCCCCAAATCTGCCATGGGCCCCGTACCGCCTGGTCACGCTCATGCTGCTGCAGGTCCACAGTGTGTCATGGGTCCCTGTACGGCCTCCCATTGCTGCTGTCTCCATTGCTCCCACTCTGCCATGTGCCACTTTGAGGTCTCCTCACACTCCTGCGGTTTTCCATTTTTTGTCATAGGTTGCTGGCAGATTACAGGCCTCCCATAGGTGCGCCAGGCCCCAAATCTGCCATGGGCCCCCGTACCGCCTGGTCACGCTCACGCTGCTGCTGGCCCCCACAGTGTGACCTGGGTCCCTGTACGGCCTCCCATTGCTCCCACTCTGCCATGTGCCACTTTGAGGTCTCCTCACACACCTGCGGTTTTCAATTTTTTGTCATAGGTTGCTGGCAGATTACAGGCCTCCCATAGGTGCTGCCAGGCCCAAATCTGCCATGGGCCCCCGTACCGCCTGGTCACGCTGCTGCTGGGTCCACAGTGTGACCTGGGTCCCTGTACGCCTCCCATTGCTCCCACTCTGCCATGTGCCACTTTGAGGTCTCCTCACACTCCTGCGGTTTTCCATTTTTTGTCATAGGTTGCTGGCAGATTACAGGCCTCCCATAGGTGCTGCCAGGCCCCAAATCGGCCATGGGCCCCCGTACCGCCTGGTCACGCTGCTGCTGGGTCCACAGTGTGACCTGGGTCCCTGTACGGGCCTCCCATTGCTCCTCTGCCATGTGTGCCACTTTGAGGTCTCCTCACACTCCTGCGGTTTTCCATTTTTTTTGTCATAGGTTGCTGGCAGATTACAGGCCTCCCATAGGTGCCGCCAGGCCCCAAATCGGCCATGGGCCCCCGTACCGCCTGGTCACGCTGCTGCTGGTCCCACAGTGTGACCTGGGTCCCTGTACGGCCTCCCATTGCTCCCACTCTGCCATGTGCCACTTTGAGGTCTCCTCACACTCCTGCGGTTTCCATTTTGTCATAGGTTGCTGGCAGATTACAGGCCTCCCATAGGTGCCGCCAGGCCCCAAATCGGCCATGGGCCCCCCCGTACCGCCTGGTCACGCTGCTGCTGCTGGGTCCACAGTGTGACCTGGGTCCCTGTACCGCCTCCCATTGCTCCCACTCTGCCATGTGCCACTTTGAGGTCTCCTCACACTCCTGCGGTTTTCCATTTTGTCATAGGTTGCTGGCAGATTACAGGCCTCCCATAGGTGCGCCAGGCCCCAAATCGGCCATGGGCCCCCGTACCGCCTGGTCCTGGTCACGCTGCTGCTGGGTCCCACAGTGTGACCTGGGTCCCTGTACGGCCTCCCGCCTCCCATTGCTCCCACTCTGCCATGTGCCACTTTGAGGTCTCCTCACACTGCTGCGGTTTTTCCATTTTGTCATAGGTTGCTGGCAGATTACAGGCCTCCCATAGGTGCCGCCAGGCCCCAAATCTGCCATGGGCCCCCGTACCGCCTGGTCACGCTGCTGCTGGGCCCACAGTGTGACCTGGGTCCCTGTACCGCCTCCCATTGCTCCCACTCTGCCATGTGCCACTTTGAGGTCTCCTCACACTCCTGCGGTTTTCCATTTTGTCATAGGTTGCTGGCAGATTACAGGCCTCCCCATAGGTGCTGCCAGGCCCCAAATCGGCCATGGGCCCCCGTACCGCCTGGTCACGCTGCTGCTGGGCCCACAGTGTGACCTGGGTCCCTGTACCGCCTCCCATTGCTCCCACTCTGCCATGTGCCACTTTGAGGTCTCCTCACACTCCTGCGGTTTTTCCATTTTGTCATAGGTTGCTGGCAGATTACAGGCCTCCCATAGGTGCCGCCAGGCCCCAAATCTGCCATGGGCCCCCCGTACCGCCTGGTCACGCTGCTGCTGGGCCCACAGTGTGACCTGGGTCCCTGTACCGCCTCCCATTGCTCCCACTCTGCCATGTGCCACTTTGAGGTCTCCTCACACTCCTGCGGTTTTCCATTTTGTCATAGGTTGCTGGCAGATTACAGGCCTCCCATAGGTGCCGCCAGGCCCCAAATCTGCCATGGGCCCCCGTACCGTACCGCCTGGTCACGCTGCTGCTGGGCCCACAGTGTGACCTGGGTCCCTGTACCGCCTCCCATTGCTCCCACTCTGCCATGTGCCACTTTGAGGTCTCCTCACACTCCTGCGGTTTTCCATTTTGTCATAGGTTGCTGGCAGATTACAGGCCTCCCATAGGTGCCGCCAGGCCCCCAAATCTGCCATGGGCCCCCGTACCGCCTGGTCACGCTGCTGCTGGGCCCACAGTGTGACCTGGGTCCCTGTACCGCCTCCCATTGCTCCCACTCTGCCATGTGCCACTTTGAGGTCTCCTCACACTCCTGCGGTTTTCCATTTTGTCATAGGTTGCTGGCAGATTACAGGCCTCCCATAGGTGCCGCCAGGCCCCAAATCGGCCATGGGCCCCCGTACCGCCTGGTCACGCTGCTGCTGCTGGGCCCACAGTGTGACCTGGGTCCCTGTACCGCCTCCCATTGCTCCCACTCTGCCATGTGCCACTTTGAGGTCTCCTCACACTCCTGCGGTTTTCCATTTTGTCATAGGTTGCTGGCAGATTACAGGCCTCCCATAGGTGCTGCCAGGCCCCAAATCTGCCATGGGCCCCCGTACCGCCTGGTCACGCTGCTGCTGGGCCCACAGTGTGACCTGGGTCCCTGTACCGCCTCCCATTGCTCCCACTCTGCCATGTGCCACTTTGAGGTCTCCTCACACTCCTGCGGTTTTCCATTTTGTCATAGGTTGCTGGCAGATTACAGGCCTCCCATAGGTGCCGCCAGGCCCCAAATCGGCCATGGGCCCCCGTACCGCCTGGTCACGCTGCTGCTGGGCCCACAGTGTGACCTGGGTCCCTGTACCGCCTCCCATTGCTCCCACTCTGCCATGTGCCACTTTGAGGTCTCCTCACACTCCTGCGGTTTTCCATTTTGTCATAGGTTGCTGGCAGATTACAGGCCTCCCATAGGTGCCGCCAGGCCCCAAATCTGCCATGGGCCCCCGTACCGCCTGGTCACGCTGCTGCTGGGCCCACAGTGTGACCTGGGTCCCTGTACCGCCTCCCATTGCTCCCACTCTGCCATGTGCCACTTTGAGGTCTCCTCACACTCCTGCGGTTTTCCATTTTGTCATAGGTTGCTGGCAGATTACAGGCCTCCCATAGGTGCCGCCAGGCCCCAAATCTGCCATGGGCCCCCGTACCGCCTGGTCACGCTGCTGCTGGGTCCCACAGTGTGACCTGGGTCCCTGTACCGCCTCCCATTGCTCCCACTCTGCCATGTGCCACTTTGAGGTCTCCTCACACTCCTGCGGTTTTCCATTTTGTCATAGGTTGCTGGCAGATTACAGGCCTCCCATAGGTGCCGCCAGGCCCCAAATCTGCCATGGGCCCCCGTACCGCCTGGTCACGCTGCTGCTGGGCCCACAGTGTGACCTGGGTCCCTGTACCGCCTCCCATTGCTCCCACTCTGCCATGTGCCACTTTGAGGTCTCCTCACACTCCTGCGGTTTTCCATTTTGTCATAGGTTGCTGGCAGATTACAGGCCTCCCATAGGTGCTGCCAGGCCCCAAATCTGCCATGGGCCCCCGTACCGCCTGGTCACGCTGCTGCTGGGCCCACAGTGTGACCTGGGTCCCTGTACCGCCTCCCATTGCTCCCACTCTGCCATGTGCCACTTTGAGGTCTCCTCACACTCCTGCGGTTTTCCATTTTGTCATAGGTTGCTGGCAGATTACAGGCCTCCCATAGGTGCGCCAGGCCCCAAATCTGCCATGGGCCCCCGTACCGCCTGGTCACGCTGCTGCTGGGCCCACAGTGTGACCTGGGTCCCTGTACCGCCTCCCATTGCTCCCACTCTGCCATGTGCCACTTTGAGGTCTCCTCACACTCCTGCGGTTTTCCATTTTGTCATAGGTTGCTGGCAGATTACAGGCCTCCCATAGGTGCTGCCAGGCCCCAAATCTGCCATGGGCCCCCGTACCGCCTGGTCACGCTGCTGCTGGGCCCACAGTGTGACCTGGGTCCCTGTACCGCCTCCCATTGCTCCCACTCTGCCATGTGCCACTTTGAGGTCTCCTCACACTCCTGCGGTTTTCCATTTTGTCATAGGTTGCTGGCAGATTACAGGCCTCCCATAGGTGCTGCCAGGCCCCAAATCTGCCATGGGCCCCGTACCGCCTGGTCACGCTGCTGCTGGGCCCACAGTGTGACCTGGGTCCCTGTACCGCCTCCCATTGCTCCCACTCTGCCATGTGCCACTTTGAGGTCTCCTCACACTCCTGCGGTTTTCCATTTTGTCATAGGTTGCTGGCAGATTACAGGCCTCCCATAGGTGCTGCCAGGCCCCAAATCTGCCATGGGCCCCCGTACCGCCTGGTCACGCTGCTGCTGGGTCCACAGTGTGACCTGGGTCCCTGTACCGCCTCCCATTGCTCCCACTCTGCCATGTGCCACTTTCAGGTCTCCTCACACTGCTGCAGTTTTCCATTTTGTCATAGGTTGCTGGCAGATTACAGGCCTCCCATAGGTGCTGCCAGGCCCCAAATCTGCCATGGGCCCCCGTACCGCCTGGTCACGCTGCTGCTGGGTCCACAGTGTGACATGGGTCCCTGTACCGCCTCCCATTGCTCCCACTCTGCCATGTGCCACTTTCAGGTCTCCTCACACACCTGCGGTTTCCATTTTGTCATAGGTTGCTGTATGGCCTCCCATTGCTGCTGCCTCCACCGCCACACTGTGGCTCCAAACACTGGTTTTGGCCCCGTGACTGGCCAAATGAGTGAAGTGTGCGGTGATTCTAAGATCGACGGCACTCATCTGCATGTCATACTGACTGACAGTATTATTTCTCTTCCCCAGCAGACTCCAAGGGCATTTAAATTAAAGGTACAGTGTTCTGCACTAATATAAAGTCTCTCTGAAGCCTAGAAACACCCTTTTTTAAGTTAAATTCACAGCGAATATATTCGACTCGAATCAAATATTTTCCACGAATTCGCCGAATCAGTCGAATCGAATTTTTGAATACTTCGCTCATCTCTAGTTGTATTATTGGTCGTATATTCTGATAAGTGTGGTACATGGCTCCTCCTCTGCACCCGGGATAAGGACACCTTACCATAGAACACAGTATAAGGGTGTCTCATCTTTCCTAAAAGTGTCCGGACTGGAAGGGGGTGAAAGTGTCCGGACTGGAAGGGGGGGGGAAAGTGTCCGGACTGGAAGGGGGAGAAAGTGTCCGGACTGGAAGGGGGTGAAAGTGTCCGGACTGGAAGGGGGTTAAAGTGTCCGGACAGGAAGGGAGTGAAAATGTCTGGACAGGAAGGGGGTAAAAGTGTCCGGACTGGAAGGGGGTTAAAGTGTCCGGACAGGAAGGGAGTGAAAATGTCTGGACAGGAAGGGGGTGAAAGTGTCCGGACTGGAAGGGGGGGGAAAGTGTCCGGACGGGGGGGGGGGGGAAAGTGTCCGGACTGGAAGGAGGGAAAGTGTCCGGACTGGAAGGGGGGTAAAAGTGTCCGGACTGGAAGGGGGGAAAGTGTCCGGACTGGAAAGGGGGGGGGAAAGTGTCCGGACTGGAAGGGGGTGAAAGTGTCCGGACTGGAAGGGGGTTAAAGTGTCCGGACAGGAAGGGGGTGAAAAGTGTCCGGACTGGAAGGGGGGGAAAGTGTCCGGACAGGAAGGGGGGTAAAAGTGTCCGGACTGGAAGGGGTGAAAGTGTCTGGACAGGAAGGGGGTAAAAGTGTCCGGACTGGAAGGGGGTGAAAATGTCTGGACAGGAAGGGGGTAAAAGTGTCCGGACTGGAAGGGGTGAAAGTGTCTGGACAGGAAGGGGGTAAAAGTGTCCGGACTGGAAGGAGGAGAAAGTGTCCGGACTGGAAGGGGGTGAAAGTGTACGGACTGGAAGGGGGTAAAAGTGTCCGGACTGGAAGGGGTGAAAGTGTCTGAACAGGAAGGGGGTAAAAGTGTCCGGACTGGAAGGGGGTGAAAGTGTGTCCGGACAGGAAGGGCGTAAAAGTGTCTGGACAGGAAGGGGGTAAAAGTGTCTGGATAGGAAGGGGGGTAAAAGTGTCCGGACTGGAAGGGGGTGTGAAAGTGTCTGGACTGGAAGGGGGTAAAAGTGTTCGGACTGGAAGGGGATAAAAGTGTTCGGACTGGAAGTTAATAGCAATAAGTGTATAGAAAATGCAATGCAATAAGGAAAAAGTCATCGGTTTAATTATCAGCACAATTCGAGGTCTCCTGTGACTGTATTGATAATCAGAGCTGACCCTGAACCCCACATCACCGAACATTCGGGGTAACAACTCTCGTCTTTATACTCCTGGAACTCTGGGTAGGATACAAAGTCACCAGAGCACTTCCATCATCTATGGCAATGTTTCTCAACCTTATTTCAGTCAAGGCAACCTTTAAAATTATGGACAGTCTTGAGGCACCCCATTCTAAAATGTGAAAAAACTATTCTAATTTTATATAATGCAGCAACATCCACACATGTAGGACACCCAATGTTAGAGGTGATTTATTCTTCCAAAGCAAATACACTTTTGTACACTGGTACTGACTAGTATTCCCATGTTTCTCTTCTCCCTCAGTTTTTCTCTATCACTGAGCTAATGTGACCCCAGCACTGATGGAGAGGGGTGGGGGAGGATCAAACTAGGATGTTGTGCAGGCAGATGACATCCTCCCTATCAACTGGTGATGTCATTGGTTGTCAGGACATTGGTGGATAAAAGGTCATAATGGCGCACAATGAAAACCTGTGGCTTTTGTGTAACTAAAAGGCCGGCTTGTTCCACCCGCTGGCTTGTATACAAGTTTTGGGCAATTTTTAGACATTTTACCAAGGCGCCCCTGAAGAATTCTCAAGGCACCTCAGGGTGCTTGGGCACCCTGGTTGAGAAAGGCTGATCTATGGTTACCTGTACTTGGAATATCTCCTGTAATGGTGAGTTACAGTGACGCCTGCACTGAATATTCCAAATCTTTTCACAATGGCTGAAGGAATTTTCTCCAATGAAAGGCAAGTAAAAGGAAGAAGTCAGTTATTGATTACTCTAGAGCAGTGGGCTCCAAACTGCGGCCCGAGGGCCAGATGCAGCCCTTTGCTTGCTTTAATTCGGCCCTTGGGGCACTATTTCCTCCTCTGATACCAACAATGGGGCATAATTCCCCCTACTGACACCAAATGATGGGGCACAATTCTTCCCAATGACACCAATGATGGGGCACAATTTATCCCAATGACACCAACAAGGGGGGCCCAGTGACCCCACTGATGGAGCACATTTCCTCTCACTGGCACCAAAAATGGGGCACAATTCCTCCCACTGACTAAAGATGGGGCATTGTTTTCTTCCCCGCTGACATCAGGACCTTTTCTACTCCCAGTGACCACAGTCTGTCCCCCTCTAAAGTCTGAAGGATAGGAAATTGGCCCTTTGTCTAAAAAGTTTGGAGGTCCCTGTTCTAGAGTGTTCTAATACAATGATATTTTTACTTTTTTGTGGAAAAGGGAAGGGAAAGATAAAGAGAAAGGTAAGGGGGAAGTGAAGTAAAGGAAACGGATGCTCAAGGGAAGGGGATGGAAAGGGAAAGGAAAGGGTAATGGATGAGGAAGAGATGGGACAGGAAAGGAAAGGAAAAGGTAAGTGGAAGGGGAAAGGGAAGGGAAAAGGAAGGAAAGAGAAGGGGAGGAGAGGGCAGTAGGAAGGGGAAGAGATGAGGAAGTGAAGGGGATGGGTAGGAGAGGAGATTTAGAAGGGGAGTAAGGGAAGGGGAAGGGAAGGGAAAGGAGATGGAACAATATTTTAGTCTGGCGTCTAAAGGAAAAAAAGTTACAATTAGAAACAAACCAATCATAACACCTCAGATCCATTAATATATTTACTTTTTTAATTTTTACAGGTACTTATATAATATCAGGTATAACATGCAAGTTTACAACGATATATTTTCCCATCTTCCCTTTCTCTTGTATGGATAAAGGATTCTGAGCTTTGCATTAACCAACTCAACATGTGTGGTATATACCGTATACAGGATATGTTATTACAAACTTTCCTTTATTTTTTTTTATAGATGTAAAAAAAATATTTTCACCCAAGACTTCTACTGAGGATCTTTTTCTTTTCTCTCCACCTGTCACCCATAAATTTATGTGCATAATATATACTATATATAAAAAAAAGCGGAAACATTTTGACGACCCCTCGAATATATTAGAATCTACCTATGAATACAATTTTGCATGGGCTTTACGTAAACCTTTGTATCGTTCTTTTATACATTTTTATACCATACATGATCATTTAAATTATAATCATTTTGCACAAATCTTCATAAACATGAAAGTTCTAATTCTGGAATAAACCTTTCCTAGCACATACATATTACAATTTTACTCGACCACAGAGATCTCTTTAACAGAATTTTAATAAATCACATAAAGGAAAAAGAAACATTTTTCATCTTTTGGCTTTGATTTTTCTCATCACTACAATCACAATTGATCATCAATGTGTCTCCATTAACCATCCGAAAATTGCGCACACATTTTAATAATGAACATTTTTGAACAATATTCCAGCCTTGCCTAGTTTTAGTCCTCACATGTTCTACAGCAAGGCCAGCAAGGCTTTATATGTGCTGCAAAATATCAGAAATGAATGTCTATTGTAATTGTTATTATGTTGCTTTCCTCCAACTGTTACCCATTCTATATATATATATGCAGTATACAGAGCTCAGTAGTGTAGGAGTTTCCGTGGCCATTTCTGTTGGTTTATATTGTGGCGGTGGTGTTGGCGGTGATATTCCAGGGACTTGCTGTAGTCTGAGGCACAGAGATCTGCAGCTTCCCAAGCTTGTACAGTACCATGATCATAAAAAGACCCACAACAATAATAACGACCAGTAATATTTTGTTCTAAAAACAAGAAGAAGTATTATTGTATGTTGGGTTTTTGTATAATCGACACAAGTGAGTGATGCACGGCGTATGATACATTATAATGAGCTGTATGTCAATGTTAGAACTAGGAGTGAGCAAAACTGAGTTTCCATTTCTTTGAAATTTTGGTAAATCTTTTACGGTTGGTTCACACTATAGAAACACAGTCCTCTTTTATCTTCAATTCAAAAGGGACATGTGCGTTCCAGTGCATTTTGGGTGCATGCTGGTGCGTTTTTTATGTGTGTTTTACAGCATTACAGTACAGTTCTGTGCAGTAAAAATGCAGCCTGTTCTTTTTTTTTCTGCAACCGGAACGCACTGGAACTGCAAACACTGATGTGAACTAGGACATTGATAACCATATGACCTATTTTCTGTGTGTTTTGGATGCAGAAAAAAAACCACACTGAAACGCATGGGGCGTGAACTGGTCCTTAGTGAAAAGGCATTGGAATCAATGGGGAAGGAGAAATTAAAGCTATGGCCTTTCATTACCATGTCCCATGATTACTTGTTGATCCTGCCATTGAAGCCCATTTTACAGCTTTCTGTGATTGGGTGGCAATGATGCTGCACTGCTTCTGAATTTAGAACAGAGTTGTATGGGCAGCAGAGGCGTCCCTAGGGTTGGTGTCACCCGGTGCAGTAACATGTAGTGTCACCCCTCCAGAGAGAATTAGCGGTGCTGGTGTAGCAGTAAAATGGCTATCCCCTGAAGCAACTCCACATGGGTCGGTTTCAGGCCGAAGAAGCCGATCTCCGAATTTAGCACAGAGCCAGAGATCAGCTTCTTCAGCCTGAAACCGGCACATGCACAGTTGCTTCACGGGATACTCATTTTACCGCTACACCGGGGCGGGGGCAGCTGTCACTGTGCCAGCATCCTGCTCCTGCACCCCCTGTGATGGTGTCACCCGGTGCGGCCCGCACCCCCCCACACCCCCCTAGGGACGCCACTAATGGGCAACATGGTGGCTTAGTGACCAGTACTTCTGCCTGGCAGCACCAGAGATGTTGGTTTGAATCCCAATCACAGCACTACCTGCCTGGAGTTTGCATGCTCTCCCTGTGCATGTGTGGGTTTCCTCCAAATTCTCCAGTTTCCTCCCACACCCCATGTTGGTATGGTAAGTAACCCTAGTATGGCTATGAATGTGAGTTAGGGACCTTATACTGTACGCTCCTCGAGGGCGGGGACTGAAGTGAATGTACAATATATATGGAAAGCTCTGCGTAACTTGATGAAGATATAAGTACCTGAAATAAATAATAAGAACTCCCATGTAAGCAATGCCTGATTATACAAATACAGAACGGACAAATGTTACAAGGGGCATGGTTGTCACTCAGCACCTGGCCACTCCTAGTCCCACCCCACTGATCTCTGATGATGACACCCTCCCACTGTGAGCTGCAGTGTCTGGGAGGGGGAACGTGGGAGAGACAAATGAAGGCGGATTCCAAGGAAGGCACAAGATATTTGGTGATAGGTGAACATGTGTAGTTTGTTTCTATTTCAAAATTCTGACAACTTTTTTGTGATTCAGATGTATCCAAATGTTCGAGTTACATAATAAAATTATGAAGAGTAACAAATCTGAAATAATGAAGTTAAATTTGGATGAAATTTGCATCGACTTTGATTTGAAATTGAATTTGACTCAAATTTGAATATGAAAAGAATAGAACATAAATGACTAGAAAAGAACAGAACACTGATAGAATAGAATATAATACAATACAAATAATAAAATACTAGAATAGATTGAAAAAGAATAGAATAGAATAAAAAAAAAACTATAGAATAGAATAAAATAGAAAGAATATAACTGTTTTCTGAAATTTAATTTCAAATAGAACAGAATAGAAAAGAATAGTATAGAATACAGCAGAAAAAGAATAGAATAGAAAATCAATAGAATAGAATGGACTAGTAAACAATAAAATACATTATAAAAGAATAGAATAGATTAGAATAGATTGAAAAAGAAAAGAATAAAAAAATAGAGGAGAGTAGAATAGAATAAAAAAAAATAGAATAAAATAAAATAGAAAGAAAAATAACTGTCTTCTGAAAATCCAATAAATCTGAAATTGAATGGAATAGATTAGAATAGAAAAGAATAGAACAGAATAGAATGGAATGAAATAGAATAGAAAAACAATAGAATGGAATAAAATAGAAAGAATGTAACTGTCTTCCAAAATTTGTATTTTGAATAAAATACATTTGAATTTGAATATTATTATATTATTATTATACAGGATTTATGGCGCCAACAGTTTGCTCAGCACTTTACAATAAAACGAGAATCAATACAGCAACAATACAGTTCAATACAAGAGGGATAGGAGGGCCTGATCCTTGGAGCTTACAATCTAAAAAGGAGGGGCTAGAAGTACAAAAAGTAGTAACTGTGGGGGATGCACTGGTAGGAAGAGTAGAAGATTCCATTATTAGCTGAGGGCAGGATAGGCTTCCCTGAAGAGATAGGTTTTCAGAGATCGCCTAAAAGTGGGCAGAGTAGGCAATAGTCTGATAGATTGGGGTAGGGAGTTCCAGAGGATGGGGGAAGCTCGGGAGAAGACCTGGAGATGAGCATGGGAGGAGGAGACAAGGGAGCTAGAAAGTAGGAGGTCTTGCGAGGAGCGGAGAGTATGGTTCGGGTGATATTTAGAGACAAGATCGGTGATGTAATTTGGGGCGGAGTTATAAATGGCTTTATATGTTATTGTTAATGTTTTGAATTTTATCCGTTGGGCAATGGGAAGCCAGTGGTGGGATTGGCAGAGAGGGGTGGAGGACAGTGGAGGGATTGGTAGAGAGGGGTGGAGGCCAGTGGAGGGATTGGTAGAGAGGGGTGGAGGCCAGTGGAGGGATTGGCAGAGAGGGGTGGAGGACACTGAGTGGAGGCCAGTGGAGGGATTGGAAGAGAGGGGTGGAGGACACTGAGTGGAGGTCAGTGGAGGGATTGGCAGAGAGGGATGGAGGACACTGAGTGGACGTCAGTGGAGGGATTGGGAGAGAGGGATGGAGGACACTGAGTGGAGGCCAGTGGAGGGAATGACAGAGAGGGGTGGCAGATACAGAACGGTTAGTAAGGTGGATGAGTCTGGCAGCAGCATTCATGATAGACTGAAGAGGGGATAGCCTGCGATGAGGTCGGCCAATGAGGAGGGAGTTACAATAGTCAAGGCAAGAGATATAACAAGGGAGTGAATAGGTTGCTTAGTGGTTTCCGAGGTTAGGAACGGCCGTATCTTGGAGATGTTGCAGAGGTGAAGTCTACAAGATTTGGACAGCGATTGGATTTGGGGCTGAAAGGACAAATGGGAGTCTAGGATTACACCTAGTACCCTGGCATGAAGGGGGGAACTGATGATTGTGTTATTGATCTTGATGGAGAAGTCAGGGGAGGGGGCACAGGCGGGGGGAATACTAAGAGCTCAGTTTTGGAAAGATTGAGTTTGAGGAAGTGGAGTGACATCCATGCCGATATGTCGCTTAGTAGGTTAGTAATGTGAGAGGAGACTGAAGGGATGAGGTGAGGGGTAGAAAGATAGATTTGCGTGTCGTCGGCATAGAGATGGTACTTAAAGCCATGGGAGTTTATCAAGTGACCAAGGGAGGAAGTGTAGATGGAGAAGAGAAGGGGTGCAAGGACAGAACCTTGAGTTACCCCTACAGAGAGAGGGAGTGAAGAGGAAGTGGCAGCGTTTTAGGTAACGCTGAAGGAGCGCTGTGATAGGTAGGTGGAAACCAGAGAGAGAGCGGAGTCTCAGAGGCCAAGAGAGTGGAGTTTTTTGAGGAAGAAGGGATGGTCAACCGTATCAAAAGCCTGTCAAGGTCCTACCTTTCCTCAGAGCTTGTGCATCCCATGTGCTGGCATCCATCTTGGGTTTCTGCAACCTTTATGCCTTCAGGCTTCTGCGGCTCCTCCTCAGAAGGGTGTGGTTCATCACATTTAAGCCTGCTGTCTGCAAGTGCTCTCTGCATTCGTGTCTTGTGTGTTTGTGTTGCTATAGCTCTGTTTATACTCTCGTGGCTCTCCAGGAGACTGACTCTTGACTAGACCATTCTCTGCATTTTCCATTTGATCTGACCTCCCGTTGCTGAACCCAGCCTGTGACCTGTTATTCTTGTCTACCATTCTGTACCGTTTATATCCTGTTGTTATCGACCCGGCCTGCCCGACTACGCTTTGTCTGATCTGGTTCCTACCAGCTACATGCCATTGGCTGCGGCCATTAGCACAGCTGGGGTGTCTCGGGGGCCGTGACCTGGTTCCTGGCTGCGTCAAGTCCATCCCCACCATCAGGGGCCCTGGTGAAGGGCAGTCTGGGACTTAGACTCCGCGCCCTGAGGGACTCCGGTCTGTGGGTGGTGGTTGTCATTAGGTACGTGACCCTGCCGCTAGGCCTGCCTGTCCGTACCACAGCTCCTGCCCTGACAAAGCCGCAGAGAGGTCAAGTACTAAGAGTATGAAGTAGCGGCCATTGGTTGGGATGAGTACAGAGTAGCGGCCATTGGTTGGGATGAGTACGGAGTAGTGGCCGTTGGTTGGGATGAGTACGGAGTAGTGACCGTTGGTTGGGATGAGTACGGAGTAGTGACCGTTGGTTGGGATGAGTACGGAGTAGTGGCCCTTGGTTGGGATGAGTACGGAGTAGTGGCCATTGGTTGGGATGAGTATGGAGTAGTGGCCATTGGTTGGGATGAGTACGGAGTAGTGGCCATTGGTTGGGATGAGTACGGAGTAGTGGCCGTTGGTTTTAACAGTTAGTAGATCATTAGTGAGTTTTAGTAGGGCAGTTTCAGTGGAGTGTAGAGAGCGAAAGCCAGACTGTAAAGGGTCAAGAAGGTTGTTGTCAGTGAGGTGGGAGCTCAGATGATTGTAGAATAGAAAAAAATAAAATAGAAAAAAATAAATATATTAGAAAAGAAAATAGAATAGAAATCTATAGAATAGAAAGACTCTTTGCATTTTTAATAGAATAAATTTGAATAGATTTGAATAGAATAGAACAAAATAGAAAGAATTTAACAGTCTTCCAAGATTTAAATTTTGAGTAGAATAAATTTGAACTCAAATGCTAATTCAAATTCAAATGTGGATTCAAATTTTCCGAATTTGGTCAAATTGAATTAGAATTAAATCCAATTGAATTTGCAAACTAAATTAAATTAAACAAATTGTGTAAATAAATTAAACTAATCAAACAAATTTAATGGAACAAAATTATTTAAACAACAAATTGAAACAAAATGAGACAAGTGATTCGTTCTGCACATGTCCAGATAAAGGTCGGTATATTGAGTTTTTATTTGGAGTGTATGTCCCCCAACAGAGGAGTCCGGGGCCCCATTACTAGGCAGCCAAGACATAATCTGCTCAGCAAGGAGTCTTTTGGGATTCATTGTCAGTATAAATAGTGTTGGGCTCTATGTTGGGGCCGAGTGTTCGTTTGATTGGAAGATCGGCCATTCGTGTGTGTTCGGCAAACACACAAACAGTAAGGGTGTTCAGCGGGCTGTTCTCCTGCATCACAATGCACTGCACCCTGAGAGGGCATTGTGATTGGCCAAAGCAATGCATCTGACCACAGGTCAGGTGCAATGCTTTGGCCAATCACAGTGCATGATGATGTCACAAGGGGCGGGGTAATGTCATCCCAGTATTTAAGAACTGTCAGATTGGCACAGCCCTCAGATGGTGGGAGCCAGCAGCAAGAGCAGAGCGGTTCTTTTTTTTTGTCTTTTTTCGGGTCGGCGGTGGGCATCATGATTGACGCTGGATCTACTTCGGGAGACATTTTTTATTTTTGTTTTTTGTAAAGGACTTATCAAAGACTATCGTTTACACTACACTTTTTTGTGAATGGGTAGCGGTACCATGTACCCCATACTCATTTATGTGGGGGGTGGGATCTGGGAGCCCTTGTTAAAGGGGGCTTCCATATTCTGATAAGCCCCCCGCCCGCAGACCCCCACATCCACAAGCCAGGGTTGTGGGGAACAGGCTGTCCCCATCAACATGAGGACAAGGTGCTTTGAGGGGGAGCCCCCCTGCCACCATAACACCAACCCATGTTGAGGGCACGTGGCCTGGTATGGTTCAGTAGGGGGGGGGGGGGTGCTCGCTTTCCTGGCCTGCTGGGCTGCATGCTGGGATAAGTACGGTATGGATTTTGGGGGGACTCCCATGCCATTTAAATTTTGGCCTGGGGGTTCCCCTCAACATCCATACCAGACCCAATGCCGGCAATTCTTTTAACATTCAGGTCGATTTTTTTTTTAGATACTTTGCAAATTAAAACTGGTGCTGTTTATCCGATGAAATTGGACGTGATGAATGCGCTGTATAGTCTGCAGTGTCCCCCTTACAGTCTAAGGGAACTCTGCGAGATCTGATGTAAAGGGGAACTGTGCACATTCAGATTAAGAGAAACTCTATGAGTTCAGATATAAAGGGGAACTCCGTGGATTCAGATGCAAGGGGAACTCTGCAGATCCAGATCTAAAGGGAAACTCTGCCAGTTCAGATCTAAGGGGAATGCTGTGGATTCAGATGTAAAGGAGAACTCTGCCAGTTCAGATGTAAATGGGAACTCTGTGGTTTCAAATGTAAAGGGGAACTCTGTGGATTCAGATGAGAGGGAAACTCTGTGGATTCAGATATAAAGGGGAACTCTTCAGATTCAGATGTAAAAGGGAACTCTGACAGATCAGTTCTACAGGGAATTCTGCAGATTCAGCTGTAAAGAGAAATTCTATGAATTCAGATATTCAGATGTAAAAGGGAACTCTGCCAGTTCAGATGTGAAGGGGAACTCTACGGATCAAGATGTAAAGGGGAACTCTGTGGATTCAGAGTAAGGGGGGACGCTGTGATTAAATCCATATGCTTAAAAATGTTATTTAATCACAAAATATATGTATAGTGCATGGTACAAAAATTGATGATTTGCTGTGCGCCACTAAAGTGTTTGGGTTTGGCTTAAAAATGTTGCAATCCTACCCAAAACAGCAGGAAGGGGGCCTGCTGCAGGACATGTGAAAGGGTCCCATTGTAATAAAGGACCCCATGAAGGGAATAAAGGGCCCCAGGATTAGTGGGAAGGGCGCCAAAACCAGGGATTAAAGAGGCACTTCATGGTCCGTGCACCGGGGCCATGAAGGTTCTAGTCACACTTCTGCCCCCCCCAGGCACGTCGCTGGTCTCCAAGTAGTTATAGATACTTCTCTCCTGAACCCTATTCACACCTTTCCTGTAATGAAAGTTCTCAGTCCCGCCTCTCCCTCCTCCTCCCTCCACACTCTCTGTATTAAGTTCCTGATATGTTTTATCCTTCAGACAGTTCACCATTTGTGTTGCATGTTGGAAGGAGGAGACCATCTCGAATCCTAATACACGTTCCATCCTAGGGTGACAACGCTGCTCCATAGATACAGTATGGGTACAGCTGGCCATACATGAACTGAAATTCACGCGGTTCAGCAAGGATTGGCCACATTTAATCGATGTATGGGAACAGTGGTTGTACAGAAGTCAATTTACTGATCGACTTCTATACAACCAGCCTGTTGGATAAGTGCCGCCCAATCAGCACTGCAGACTATAGCCGGCAGCACTGATCTGTGTATTGTGATGGCAGGGAAGTCTTCCCACTGTCAGAATACAATAGCTGAGCGGGGAGGATTCCCTCATCCATATCGAATGTGTGGATGGGGAAATTGGGCCAGATTTTTTTTTTCGTTAAACCTGCTGGTCAAACAAAAAAAACCTGAATCATCTCTGGGCTGCTTTAATCAGCGTTGTCGCTCCTGTGTGTTACTGGCAGGATCACCAGTTGGACATAAAGGAAATATAGGCCTAAAAAAGAGAAAACTAATGCAGCCATCACATCGAAGGACTGGTAGGCTGACTTCATGTTTATTCTTGTATTTAGATATGCTTAAAATTACTGAAAAGAATGAGTGAATTCAAGAAGTACGAAGTTCAGATTCTTCCCCACAGATGACGGGTGGACCCATAGCTGCTCCTAGAGATGAATGTTCCTTGGCTGGCTCTAAATTGGCACATTAAGATGACCTGTGACCCGGGGTGTAGGCAGGGGTGAATGCTGTGCCCCTTTAAGATGGGAGTTCTTCAGAAACCCTCCCAGGAAGTGAGATGAGGT